ATGAAAAATTATCTGTTCTAAAATATTTTTGAGTTAAATATGTTTAAAAATAATTAGAAATAATATATAAAACTGGCTTTTAATTGTCTCAAGAATATTTATCAAATGGCAAAAAAATCCAGAAAAGGTTCAGAGGAGGGTTACTAGAATGGTGCCTGGGATGAAGGGTTTGTCATATGAGTAGAGGTTGAGATTTCAAGTTATTTTCTCTTGAAAGAAGAGTAAGAGGGATCTGATTAAGTGTTAAAGATTGTAAAGGGAATTGGTAGTGTTGATGCATCATCTTTTTTTTTTTTCATACTTAATGGCAAGAATAGTAGGAATAGTGGACACAAACATAAATTGTGGCACGATAAGAATCATCTTCAGTTAAGACAGTTTTATTTTACTAACAGGGTGGTTGGCCTTTTCAAATGGGTTGCCTTTGAATGTTATGGAGAGAGTAAATTTAAGTGAGAGTAAGAGAAAACTTGATAATTATATGAATGATAAGGGCTGGCTTTAAGATTTTTTTATTTAATAGTTTTAGTTTAGTTTAGAGGATGAGACAACCAAGATAGACCAATAGGTTCCTCGTTATCCCAAAACATTGTTATGTTAAACCTTCCCCTACATCCAAATCTTGCTTATACATCATTAAAGAAAGCAGTTTCCCAATTATAAATTAGAAACATAACAAAATGTAAAGAAAAATAACTGTAAACTTACTCTTTATTTCAGACCTAAGTAGTCAGAGAATTGGTAGAGGGTGCTGCCAACCAGTTGCCTTCTCTGTAGTCAAGAGTTCAAGATCAGTGACAGTGTAGCTTTGCCATAACAAAGATAGGTTGAGCTAGTTTAGTGGCAATGGAAATTGAACCATAGATGTTCAGTGTATTCATATATACAAGTATGTTCTAAATCCATCTACTTACTCTTAAAAAAACATGGAATCATCAAAAACATCTCTAACAGAAACCAGTTTAAAAAAGACAATCTTAGGCAGAATTTTCTGTTTCAATGGTTACTTTGCCATTTTCAAGTAAATTTCAAAGGTAAATGTAATTTCTCAGCTTGTACAACAAGACTAGTGCAAAACTAAGATCACACTGACACTTAATTTCAAAGTAAGCTTCAAACTTAAAAGTATTTACCACAAATTCAAATTTATTTTAAGTCTGAAAAGTAATAACCCAGGAAGATAATAACCAAATTGAAAAGACTCATTTGCAAAGATGCCAACAAAACACAACAACTAAACTAGTCACATCATAAACTGGAGCTTACCCCAAATCCTAGACACAACTCACCTTTGGAAAAATAAAAAAATCTTCAAAATATGCCAATAATTCTTCACAACTAACATATTGGCTACATCATAGGCTGGGGCAAACCCCAACTTCTGTTCATGGCTTATCATTAGGAAAAAGTATTTTCATTTTGAAATATGCCAATAATTTTCACTGAAAACAGCCATGACACTGGCCACATCATAAACTGGGGCATACCCCAAATAACACGGCTCATCGTTAGAAAAAACTATTGCACTATGTGAACAATTTATGCCTGAGACCAATGCTTTGAGATCAGTGGTATTCGAATATCACCACCCCATCCTCAGGCAAGAAAGCCACAATAATGTCATCATACAGTAAACAGCCATTCTTTTGAAACATCACACAGATAACAATATTTACTAGAACTCAAACAAGAGTCAATATCATTTATTTTCTCATTACTTTACATGTATGTGATATTGATGTCAGTACTGTTATTTTTTTCCTTTGTTTGTGTACTTATTTAATTATTTCAATAGTTAAAGTTGTTTTGGATTAATTAGGGGAAAAAAAGAAGAATGCAAAGTCCAGTTCATTTTACAAAAATGAAAGTATTTAATTTCTTTGACTACAAGTTGTATAGTTTCACAGTAGATGGTTCCACTTGTTAACTTCTCTTTTATATACTGCAACTTTCAATATCTCTTCCTCGTTGTTGAAATAAAAACTTGGTACTCACAAAACTAAAGATATTGAATAACTGGCTTATGTTAACAGCAAACTATTAACAAACTCTTTAACTCAGCAATTAATCAGCCATGTTGTTGGATATATGACTGTGTAGTGTAGGCATTATTATTTAATTTATTTTGTGAGTTAATATTTAATGATTGTTGCAATTATTTTAAAGGCGATAATTATGACAAATTTAGTTACATAACTTTCAGTAAGAGTCGTACGTTGTATTTGCATTTCATTGGTGTTGAGGCTATAGAATATTCTAGAGGCCTTGGTGATAAACATGTGAATAGTGGTGACCAAATGAGTGGGAGTGGAGTAAATGTAAAGTCAAGTGAAAGAGAAGTTCAGTCAGAAAAAAAGTTAGAAAATGTGAAGTTAGCCATTGTGGGAATGAAGAGCTTTAACGGTTGATATTATAAAGTGAGATTAACAGTTTGATAGAGATAAGGAGAATAATTTTTATTGTCAAAGGGTATTCTAAACTAATTGAACCCACCTGTGTGGATGTTATTGGAAGTTCAGGATTCAATTGTGGTAACCTACGAGGCAGCATAAGTGAATTATTCTCTGATACTATTGTGATAAAAGTAGAGAAAAATAGTTCAGCTTGTCAACTGGATTCTAAAGCAATTGAATTAGCCTAAGTGGACTTTTGACAATAAGAAGAGAACTGTATACTGTTTAAGATACAACTATGATCTCCATAGTGTAAATACTTTTTTTGACACATGTTTAACTTGGTTTGAAAATATTATTTCAAAACAAGTGGAGTGCATGCTGTCCATTTATTGTTTAAATTTATCACCAACAAGCCACAAACACCTACTGTAGAAGAATCCTTGGCCCACACCTATATATATACTTAAAACTCAGACACATGTACTTTAGCGTAACTCACATTTTATTTCATTCAAAGCATTCCCTAAACTTTTCAAGAAGAATCTAGTCACTAAGACATACCCATCACATGACATCAAACTTAATATCACATCCTATGGAAAAAAATATTATGTAATTGTTTTTTTCCACTGCTATCTAAATGTATTTAAGTGAGTTACTAACTTTAACTTCCCTTATTTCGTTAACGGTAGTCTAGACCAAGGCCAAAGCTGTAACAATACTGTTTGTAATTATTTAGCTGATATATTTTTGTTGGCAAATTAGATGATAGTTTTGAATGAACTCATCCTTGATCTCCATTTTCTGTTTGCCAACTCCTCTGACAGACACCAATTGTTACGACAGCGGAAGTCACGTGATGCTGGTAACATGTAATGAGTATCTCGAACGTTCCCGAAGGCTCGAGTGTTTGCTAGACACGCGCTCTTATAGTATATAAGCCGGCAAATAAAGTGACGTAATAGATAATTGCAGACAGGCAGATATAGAGACGGACAATTGCATTAAGCATGGTAGTAAGTGAAGTGCGTGAATCATACGTTGAGAATTATAGCGTGTGTTTAAATTAAAGTGATTGTGGAAATTAAGTGTATTGCAAAGTTGAATTGAGAAAGAATAAACTAGTTTTATTTAAGAAAAGACTTGTATCGCTGAAGTTTCTCAGAAAGAAATTATACGTGAAATTAACAAACGAACACAGACGTAACAAATCACTTGAGGGTTAATTGATATATTTAAGATGTTGTTGGGGCATGGGAAAGGAGACTTGACATAGAACTTGCATAGATTTGTCAAAGCTTTCACATTGATTTTACAAAGATTATGATACAGGTTTCAAGATAGATTACATAGTTTCCAGTCCCCCCTTCCCATATTTTTCTGCTGTTTTCACATTTGTGTTACATGCTGTAAGTATCCAGCATAAAATGAATATTTTTGCCATATTTTCTTTATACTTTTATTACTTTCATTGTTACCTCTCTTTTAACATTGTTTTTGCCTTCACCTTAAGTAAACAGGATGTAAAGTACTGTTTTCATATTAGAATTGTTGCAACATAATTCTATCATTTGTGGGTTCTTTTAAATTATCTAGAGAAAATAATTCAAACATCCAATCCAAATAACATTAATAAACTATCTTATTTCCTCCTTTAATGTTTTCACAAAGTTGAACACTTGTACAATGTAATGAATTCCTTTAGGCCTATGTTATAAATTATGTTAACCAAAAACAAATCAACTTACTTACACAAAGTAACCTTGATAGCTAACACACTGAATGGTTCATTCTCTATTTTGGAAACTTAACACACTTCAAAACTATATTTATTAGGTAGCTTCAAATTAGCTAGAAAAACTTGACATCACAACTTTAAAACTTTTTTTGCCATTTTATGCTAACAAATAGATTACAATATTTAATAAATATAGCTTACAATAGTAGAGTTAGTCCATGTTAATATTGAAGATATTTAAAGTGTATCATTAACTACCCTTTTCCAGGATTAAATTTTCTATTTTAATATTCATTGGTGAAATACAAGTAAGATCTTGGATTTCACATAGTGCATTTATTTATGTAGATTAAAATAATGTGACATTTAATTTAAATTAGGGTGTGTTTTTATAGTGGGCATTTTCCCTTACTTTCACTGACAAGATCTTTGTTTTTCTGTTAAATTCTTCGTTAGTTCTTGTCAGTCACACACCAACATACACAATCACTTGCTCTATAGCTTATTTTTAGTTTACTGTATTACAGTATATTGTTTATTTCTCTTATTAATTGTGAAGAGTAACATCAAACATTGCTTCTGCATACAAATCCATGATTGTCTCGTTTTTCATGACTCAACTATCACAACTCATTGGGAAATATACACCCAAGCCAAAAATCCAAAAACTTTCAGTTGTAATGGGCATGATGTTTCTGCTTTGCTGGTCATCTGCAAGATATAAAAAATTAGTTTATTTAGACTTTTTGTAATCTTACTGATATACCATTAAAAAAAAAACTGACAAAAATGCTATCATAAAATGTCACTTTTAATTAGTATGTTGTTAAACACTTTTTTCTAATTAAGATTTTATTACATTTAAGGAACAGAACATGGGACAAAGAACTTCTGACACTCGAGGTGTTGTGTTTGAAGATGTTGAAGTGCCAAATGAGGTAAACATGCATGCCTTATCTTAGTTTTTTCTTCAATCAGCTTGTATTCAACATAACTAAGTTATCTGAAGCTAAGAGGTCTTATATTAAGCTTCTACAGCTAAAATGTGATTTTTAACTTACTCCTTACATAAGTCAGAGGATGGTACGAAAGAGAGAAGATGATGGAAATATAAGCTGTTATACTGTTATAGGTTTTGAATATTATTCAATATTACTATTATTATCATTTGTAGTGATTTGGGTTAAATAACAAGAGAATAACTAGATTTAGTAAGATTGGTAAATAAAAATAGTAGGGTTAACATTTTGATTTGGAGCTTAATGGTGTAATCTGCAGTACACCATAGATTAGGCCTAGGATATGTAATTGGTACTTTTAGGCTTAGCTGTAATTCATCTTACTGGTAAATAATTAAACAGGTTAAATTCAGTATATTATTAAACAAATACAGTTTAAAGACTAGTTAATTGTACGTTCATGTTTTAAGGGTTATCTTGTTTACTTTAGTTGAGATCGACTAGTTCAAATTCAGTTTATAGGTAGGTTATAAATCAGGTGAAATACACTGTATTATTACTATTAATATTAACATAACATAAACATCAAATAAAGTAAAGACTAGTTGTTTCTCACATCTACAAAATTAAATATAAATTTAATTACTTTAGTGTGAACATAAAGTAGTGATAAAATACTGTAATATATTTGATTATAAAACGTTAAGCTTAACAGTGTTGGCAGTAGACTACTGGTATTTACATTTAGTATTGAGTATTTATCTCCAGGCTACAAATACAATGGTTAAGACTAGTGTTGAAGTTGAGCATTCACAGTTTGTTAGGTATGGTGGGGATACTGCCTAAAATTAATTGTGGGGATGAAATTACGAGTAGGTAACTATGGCTAAATGCTAGGCTTAGGTTAATATGAAAAGATGATCAGATAGGCTGGTTGGACTTGTAGGATCACTTCAATGGAAGAAGGGAGCTTTTTGAAATGGATGATTTACATTTAAATAGGGTAGGGTCTGGCTTGTTTGCAGGGGCTATTAACTCAGTTGTAAGGGAAGATTTAAGCTAGGATTAAACAGTGGTAAGGGCCAGAATAAACTAAATATAAAAAAAATAAGTTGTAGAGAAAAGTTTAGCATAAGTATAGAAGTAGTTCTAATGATAGACTTACTTCTTACTATTATAATGCTAGAATTATAATAAATAAAATAAATTACTTTAGGGCATTGGTAGGAATGGAGGATTTTGATTTAATGGGAATAACTGAAACATGGTTAAATGTAGATGATTTTGATGATAGAAATGTCTTTGAAATACAGGGTTATAAGTTATTTAATAGGGATAGAGTACTAAAGAGAGGGGGAGGAGTGGCTTTATATGTAAAATGTGAGTGACTTTCTGTTGAAGTTGAATATATCAAAGATAATAGCAAGTAGATCAAATCCATTTGGGTTTCTATTATAAAAGGAAAAGACTTGTAGTGGGAATTTGTTACAGAATACCAGCTGAAACTGATGAAATTAGTGAGAAACTTTACAGTGAGATTAAAGATTTCAGCTGTTAATGAGGTCATACTTATAGATGATTTTCATTTCAGGCATATAGATTAGGAAATGCTAGAGTCAAACCATGAGGGAGAAAGGTTTTTTGGAAAATGTTCAAAATGGTTTTCTCTACCAATTGGTCAAGGAACCTACTAGAAACAATGCTATTTTAGATTTATTGTTGACTTCTAACACAGAAATTGTTGAGAGGGTGGAAATTGGGGAACATCTGGGTGCAAGTGATCATTGCTTTATTAGGTTCAATGTTTTGCTGCATATGGAGATGTGAAATAATGATATTTTGGTAACAAATTTCATAAAAGCAAATTTTGAAGGGATGCAACAAGAATTGGCTGTGAATTGGGCAGCCGAGTTATTTGACACTGATCAAATGTGGACAATTTTTAAGGATAATTGTTTAAATATTCAAGATAAACATTCCTTTTAGAAAGAAAAGGGTGGCTGCAAGTTAAAAATCAGTTTGGCCCACAAAGGGTATAAGGGATAAAATTGAAGAAAAGCATCACAAATTTAAGAAATTTAAATAGACATACCAGGATATTTAGAAGCTTATAGAAGGTCAAGAGAGTTAGTCAAACAGGAAATTAGGACATCAAAAAGGATGTATGAAAAAAAGGTTGGCTTAAAATGTAAAAAGTAACAGTAACGATTTCTTTAAATACATTATGGGTAAACAAAATGTTAGGATGGGGATAGGACCATTAAGGGATGATAAAGGAAAGCTAGTATCTGATGATTATGAGATGGTTGGGTTATTAAGTTTTACTTTTTCTTCTGTTTTTACTTATGAAGATTTAAAAAATATTCAACATCTTGAACAGTTGATAAATGGGAACAAGATCAAACAAGATGATTGCATTAATTCTGAGCTGGGAAGTTTAAAATATGATAAGGCTCCAGGGTCAGATAATGTCTCTCCAGTGGTTTTGAAGGAGGTTAAAGATTGGATATGTGAGTCACTTGCTACTATTTTTTGTCATTCCTTGAATATTGGGCAGGTACCAGAGGATTTGAAGTTAGCTAATATAACTGCTCTTTTAAAGGGAAGTGATAACAATTGTCCCAGTAAATATAGACCCGTTAGTTTTATATCAGTTGTGGGAAAAGTTTTGCAAAGTCATTTAACAAAGTTTAGAATTTTATTGGACAGTCAACATGGTTCCACTAAGGGAAAATCTTGCCATACAAATCTTTTAATATTCTTTGAAAAGATTACTGCTTATTTATACGAGGGTAAGGGTGTAGATTTGATGTATGTGGATTTTCAGAAAGCATTTGACAAGGTGACACATAAAAATCTTCTAAAAAAATCTGTCTATAGGTGTGGGGGATAAGTTAGCAAAATGGATAGAAGAGTGATTTGATGGAAGAAAGCAGAAGGTGATTACAGATGGAGTTCAGTCAAATTGGATTAATGTCACAAGTGGGGTATCTCAGGGCTTAGTCTATTTAGGACCTTTGCTCTTTTTGATTTACATCAATGACATAGATGAATGAATAATCAATAAATTACTTAAATTTGCAGATTATATTAAGGTCTTGGGTGTCGCTAGCTGTGAAGAGGATGCCAAGTTGTCCCAAAATGTTATGTTATGTTATATATCATTGTTGTAAACAATAACACTTAAACACACCAGTTCGAATAACTCTGTTGTTGAATTTTGTCAGTGAAGAATATTGGATACTGTGTTGTTTAGTTTTTGTCAGTGAGAAATGTTGGATATCTTTTGTTATAATCTCTATATAAATAAAATAAGAGTTTTGTCTGTACATTGCTTAGAATAGTGTACTTTTTGCATATCTTCA